CAGCAACATGGGCCAGGCTCACAAACACCATGCTGGTGGGGAGAAGGCAACTTCCGGAAGAACACAGGGAGGACGGGGGCAATTACAAAGTTCAAAAACAAGAGCAGTTCAACAAGATACTGCTCACAGTGTTTGTGTATTCGTAAATATCCCCAGAGAAGAGCAAGGCAGCGATCAATTTAAAACTCACAATGGTATTCTTCAGGGACACTGGAAAGGAGGATTTAATCAAGGAAGAGTGATACAAACAGCACTGATAATTTTTTTTGTTTTTATTGTGTATGTTTCTTTGGGTTTTTTTTGAGATGGAGTTTCGCTCCTGTTGCCCAGGCTGCAGTGCAATGGCACAATCTCGGCTCACCACAACCTAGGTTCAAGGGATTCTCCCGTCTCAGCCTCTTGAGCAGCTGGGATTAAAGGCATGCGCCACCATGCCTGGCTAATTTTGTATTTTTAGTAGAGACAGGGTTTCTCCACCTTGGTCAGGCTAGTCTCAAACTCCGAACCTCAGGTGATCTGCCTGCTTCGGCCTCCCAAAGGCTGGGATTACAGGCGTGAGCCACTGTGCCCAGCCTGTTTTCTTTTTTTTTTAATCTAGATAGTGAGTAAACTGGTTTTCATTGGGTTATTCTTTAGCTTTTGTATAGATATAACATATTTTTGGCCTGGCACGATGGCTCACACCTGTAATCCCAGCAATTTGGGAGGTTGAGGCAGGTGGATCACCTGAGGTCAGGAGTTTGAGACAAGTCTGGCCAACATGGCGAAACCCCATCTCTACTAAAAATACAAAAATTAGCCAGGCGTGGTAGCACATGCCTGTAATCCCAGCTACTCCGGAGGCTGAGGCTAGAGAATCGTTTGAACCCAGGAGGCAGAGGTTGCAGTGAGCCAAGATCACACCACTGGACTCCAGCCTGGGCAACAGAGGGAGGCTCTGTCTCAAAAAAATAAAACGAAATAATAAGCTGGGCGTGGTGACTCACACCTGTAATCCCAGCACTTTGGGAGGCTGAGGCGGGCGGATCACTTGAGGTCAGGAGTTCGAGACCAACCTGACCAACATGGAGAAACCCCGTCTCTACTAAAAATACAAAATTAGCCAGGCGTGGTGGCACATGCCTGTAGTCCCAGCTACTCAGGAGGCTGAGGCAGGAGAACCACTTGAACCCAGGAGGCGGAGGTTGCAGTGAGCCGAGATCTCGCCATTGCACTCCAGTCTGGGCAAAAAGAGTGAAACTCCGTCTGAAAAACAAAAAATAATAATAATAATAATAATAGTATAAATATTATTTTATATTAAATGAGGTTTAATAATAAAATTTAATGATACAAGTTAACGATTAATAGTAATATTTAATAATAATATTTAAGAATATAAAGTTTATATGTATCCTCAAAAATCCAGAGAAAAAAGAACTGTAGCTATTACTTTAAAATAGCTACCATTACTATAATAATCAATTACCACAGTAATCAATTTCAAGTGATTACTGTAAAATCACTTGAAAAATACCTTTGGTAATATTCATTCCTTATTTCTCAGAATTTACCATAAACAATTGCAAAGAGATACATAAACACTCATAATTGCATTTCATATCTATCTGCTTGGAGGTGTTAGGCTGGAACTCTTGGAGCAATGCAGCCCAGGAAGCAAGCAGAGAGAGGAAAGGGGGAGTCAGGAATAGAATGTGGAGATTTGCCCATGCTAACGGTGGCCAGAAGAGAAATCAGCAGACGACTGTAAAGCCACCAGTTCTTTCCCCTGTCGCGCCTGCAGGTCCCTTCTGCACACAGTGCCCTCATCACCGCAGGGGCTGAGACTTCTCACCTCCGAATCCCTAACATCTGCTGACCTCTCTCTTTGCCTCCAATCTTCACCTCATCCTTCTTCAAGCCACTCTCCACAAAGCAGCCAAAAACCAAAAGCACGTCGTAAACGACAATTCTGTTCAATCATCACTTTCTTACTGAAAGCTCTTCCACGGGTCCCTACTGACCTAGGGATAAAGTAGAGCCTGTCCTATGTCCTTAATAAGGCTCGTGTGACTCGGCTCCTACCCCCCTTGCTGGGGCACACCACTCCTCAGCTCATTTTCTGATTGCAAAGGTTGAAAGCAGAAGGCGTCCAACTGTGGTCCAGATCAGCAGCATTAGCATTACCTGGGGGCTTGCCAGAAATGCAGACCTAGCCCAGACCTACTAAATCAGAGTAAGCTATGGGTGGGTCCAACAACTTGAGTTTCCACAAGGTTTCTAGTTGATTCTAAAGCACATTAAAGTTTAAGCATCTCTGGTTTAAAGTATGAATGACAGGTAATTATAATTTGAAGAACAATTTGATGGGAAAAATCGCAAACTACTATAGCATAGTTGGGGGAAGCACACATGACTGCCACGGATAAAGTTTCTGCTCTGCTTCTTCCTAGCTTTGTGACGCCCAGGAAGTTACACAGCTGGCCTCAGCATCTTGCAATGCTTGATAGCAAGGATCCTACTACAGCAAGACTGCTCAGATTTAAATCACGGCTCTAGGCTGAGGTGGGGGGTTGGGGGGGCGTCACCTGGGAGGTCAAAGCTGCAGTGAGCCCAGATTGTGCCACTGCACTCCAGCCTGGGTGACAGAGCGAGATCCTGTCTCGTTTAAAAAAAAAAAAAAAAAAAAAACATGGCTTTACTTCTTATTAGCTGGTGATCTTCAGTAAGTCACTTACTTTCTCTGAGCCTCAGTTGTCTCATTTATAAAATTATAAATAGCACCTACTTCATACAATTGTGAGGATCAAAGAAGTTCATATCTGTACTATGTTTAAAACTACACCTGATACACAGTAAGCACTGTGTTATTTATTGTTACTATAATTGTTATTATTTTCACAGAGGCCACATTACATTTTTGGAAAGAGTCAACACAATGCTAATGCCTACAGAAAGTAAATAAAATCTACCCCCTTTCATAAGGAAAAACTCTCCTTACCTTTTTTTTTTTTTTTTTAGGTAAATGACTTTTTTTTCCTAGTACACCATTTACCTCACTGAGTTTATTTCCTTTCAATTAGAGAGTACTTAACTTGATGCAATGACCTCTTCCTAAGAGTCAAGGGATCTGCCTTTAAGGGGTCACTTATTTCAGACACATTAATTCTTTTTGTAGCAAAGTACGTACAAGATTAACAAGGGATTTACCGAACATGATCCCTACACTAGGGAAAATATTTTTGATTATTCTACATATATATCCATATTAATCTAGCTATAAATTCTACATGTAAAAGTGCCACCAAGGCAACTATCTGCACAGTCACTGAAAAGGATGATGAAAGTATCACAATAGAAAAAATCTGCATAACCGGACTTTGCACCTCTTTCTTCTGACTACTGAGAGTTAACACTATGTCCCTCTGACAAATACCTGGGCCGTAACACATTCAATGCACTATAGAGTCTATCGAACATAAACCAGAACAACAAAACCAGTTTTGTTGTGGTTGTTTATTTGTTTTTGTTTTATTTTTAAGACAGAGTCTTGTTCTGTTGCCCAGGCTGCAGTGCAATGGCGTAATCCTGGCTCATCATAACCTCCACCTCCCAGGTTCAAGCAATTCTCCTGCCCTAGCCTCCCGAGGAGCTGGGAATACAGATGCCTGCCACCACATCTGGCTAATTTTTACATTTTTAGTGGAGATGGGGTTTCACCATGTTGGCCAGGCTAGTCTGGAACTCTTGACCTCAGGTGATCCGCCTGCCTTGGCCTCCCAAAGTGCTGGGATTACAGGCATGAGCCAACGCACCCAGGCACCACAGTTTTTAAAGACACAATAATACATGGATCTCAGTAATGTGAAATTACGTAGTGACATTTTTTTCAACGGTCTTAAAATATTTCACCTCATTATTTATTCTGATATAATATTATATAAAGTTATATAATATAAGTTATAAAATATGAGAAAAGACAGGAGTTAGAAAATTTAAAAAATGAGAAAAAATATATGGGGACAAGTCATAAAACCAAAGTTAAAATATAGGGCTCATTACCAAGAGTTCAAGGTTACTTGGAACCATAGAGATAATATACATCAATTGAAACTGACTTAGAAATCAGTTGAGTCATCATATATTTTTTGTGGATTCTGAAATCCTCTACCCCAGTCTCTCATAGAGGTAGATGAGAATCAGGTATGGAGTAAGTAGTCTTATCTGTGATTATCCTGATTTCTCAAGGGTTTTAAAACCAGTTTCCTGTATAAAATCAAGTTAAGATCATTTTCATAAAAAAGAACAAAGAATGAGCATTTAATGCTATGGGTGGGACTAGATTTTTATTAGCCTGTGATAGCCACATGTTCCATGATTTTTTGTTTTTTTGTTTTTCTAAAACACTAAACCTCAAATAGGAGGCAAGGTGAAGGATTTTGGCAGAATCTCTTTTCATAACTTTTCTACTTTAAAATGGAAGTCACAGGTTACAAAAAACATTCTATCGACTCTGGGTTCCAAGGCATCTCCTCAAGGCAGGACATTTTATATTGAGGTGAAAAGAAAGATTAATAAGTTAAGATTACTAAATTTTTAAAGGACATCAGTGAGCCGTGGAAGGTCAACCTGAATAACGTGTGTTTTGCTAGCCTAACACTACGTAATTTCAACTGCACAGAAAAGAAAGGTAACAAAGTAAGTTGTATTTTACAACTAAAAACCCACAGAGGGGGGGAAAAAACAGCTAATCGAGTATTTTTAGAAAAGCATGCAGAATTCCTTGTTTACAACAAAGTACAATACATGAACCTTTTTGGACTGTCTGAAAAAACAAAACATTAATTGCTCAGGTTAACACTTAAGATCCTCTACGATAAGAAAAAGTTTTCGACTATAAAAAGCATAAGGTGAATAAAATACAGCTTTTCCCTCCTGTAGCTGTAAGTATTAGCCACACAAGTGCTGACAAGGATTCTGGACTTGAGGAGGCCTTCTAAGGAAATCCTTACAACACTCACCTGGACAGTCCTCTGAGTGCCATCAACGCTGACGGACAATAAGGGCAAAGCCAGGTTCCACGTGCTGGTCACATTTAGTTTCGACCCATCAACTTCCACCTGTTGTGACACCAAATAAGACCATTACCATGAAGAAAGACAGCAAACTGATCTCAAGTTCATTGCTGCATACAAAGCAGCAGCCATTTTAAACAGATGGCTCCCAAACAACCTGTCATGTTTACTGCTCCAGCCATGAAAGACAGGGTCCAACAACAGCGTCTTCCCAGTCATCTCTGGGGAGAGGTGAAGGACCTGTGAACAGCTGCCTCTGGGTACTGAGGCTTCAAGTGATTTCCGTAAGTAACAAACAGCCTTCTAACTCGAAACCTATCTGGACATGCTACATTTACTGCAATTAGACAAGTAATGCATATAAATTCCAGTGACATCTTGCAACCCACACAACAGGGCTTGCATATAATATCCTCTCCAAGGACCAAGGAAGAACTTTTTCTCTGTTAATTTTAATGAAGGACTATGCATTGTTATCTTAATTAAACAGAAGCTTTAATTAGACAGAATTCTTTGGTGTTGAATATCAAAAGTCCATTCAAACTTTGCAAAGTTCTGTCATATTTCTGTCAATCATAAATGACTGACTTCATCCAGTCATCTTTCATGAATATGCAAAAAAAGACCCATAATCTTTCAAAACAGGGATACTCGTAAAAGAAAAAAAAAATTTCCAAATAAATATAAAAGTAATGGAAATTTAAAAATCATAGCTAATTTAAAATGAAAGTACCATGGTTTTCTTCCTTTCACTCACTGATGCTTATTCCCTAACTCTTTAATATGAGAGGCTTACAGATGACATTATTATATGGTAGACAACCTAACAAGGGGATACTTAAGCTTGCTCAAGTTTCCAAATAAACCTGCAGCAGAACCATGATATATGATCCCTAACAATTCCCCCACTATCACTTATTTCTCTTAAAAGATACTCATTAAAATCAGATTATCAGAGACCTCACTATTTCCCCTTCTGCTGGACCCTTGGGGACAGGTCGGGAGTGGCAGTGGACAAAGATTGCTGAAAACATTCTGACATGTATCAGGTGCCCTAAAAATATCCAGGGGAGAGGTCTGCTTCTGGGACACAGTGTAAGGGAGGCTGCAGGCTTGCAGTGAAGCCCAGGGCTCAGTTTTGTGGCATTCTGAATATGGCGTGGCAGCAACAGCACAGCATGGCTGGAGGGAGGGGCTGGGCAAATAACCCAAGTACATCATGATAGGAATCCAGAAGCTCTGACCAGTGAAGATCTGGGTCAGGATGAAGACCACACAGTATGGGGAACACCACGATTGCAGGCAAATACAGTTGATCCTTGGAATCCATGGGAGACGGGTTCCAGGAGCACTACTCCCGCCCCGCCCTGCAGATACCAAAATCCGGGGATGTTCAAGTCCCTGATAGAAAATGGGCTAGTATTTGCATCTAACCCATGCACATTCTTCCATATACTTTGAATCATCTCTAGATTACCTATAATATCTTTGAATTATAATACCTAATACAATGTAAATGCTATCTAAATCGTTGTTATACTCTATTGTTTAGGGAATAAAGGCAGGGGAAAAAAAGGCTGCACTATTCAGTACAGATCCAAATCTTTCCCTCCCCGCCCCCCTACCCCAAATATCTGCAGTTGGTTGGAGCCACAGACACGAAGCCCATGGATACAGAGGGCCGACCGTAGTAGATTTAAGGACAGCAGAAGCCTCCTCAAGGCTTTCAGAGCTTAAACAGAGAGAGTCATTTCTCAGTGGTTACCAACCCAGGCCCTCGTAGCAAAGCCTTAGGGGGACTACGTGTGAGTCTACGTTCTCCCCACGCCAGCACCGTGAGGCAGATCTGACCATCATTCCCAAAGGCCCCCCTCACTGCTCCCAGACCTCACCTCAGTGGAAGCTGGGGATAGAAGAAAACTGAAACACATTACCCCAAAGAGACTGTTTAAACCAACAGAGGCCAGGATCCTGTTTACTCTCATATTTTTCTTCCCACCATCCACTACCAAAGGTAGAGGGCCTCTGACGAAGACGATAGGTGATAGAAAATACAGTACATTTTGTCATCTACATAATGAATCATGAGTAGAAATTTGCAACTTCACTACATAACTGAAACAAGGAAGCCATCATGACTCCAAATCAGAAGCTGAAACCTATCTGCCAGTACTAAGTGGCGACAGGGAGTGTGCAGAAAGCCATCACAGGCCTTCTCAGGCTTCCAGCGATACACAGATACATAATTCTGAATAAGAGGTACAGTGATTCTACTGATGCCTGCATCCAAGCGGGGAATCCAGATGGAAATATAGGCCATAGGAGAAGTAGAGAATGTCTCTTTGAACCACGGGTTAATACCAGAGAAAGCTGGGCTGGCTGAACCAAAGAATCCTTGTTACTATGCCAGATCCACTGTGCACATGCAACTCTTCAGTCAAGGGTGATTGAAGGGGCAGATGTGGAGTGGAGGTAGCATTTCGTGATAGACTCTGACATGAAGAACCAGCCTACCCTTTCAAACTAAATAACAGATTTGGTGAGAAATGACCAAGTAATAAGTCAAAAAAAAAAAAAAAAAAAAAAAAAGGCTGTAGCCTGCTTCACCCATCCTCCCGCCCTATTTCAACATAAACAACACTCAGAAAACAACCAATACTGGATGTCTGCATACAATTTGGAAAAAAAAAAACCTCAGAAAGAGGTAAATCAGCAGCATATAACACAAGAACTACTCAAAGAAACACAGGAAGAGTTCAGATAAATAGTTCTCCAAAGTCTCAAAGGCAACCATAGGAAATGTGACCCCTCTTAAAAAAAAAAAAGAGCTCAAAGAAGAAAAACAAAGGTTCAAAGACGAGATTATACAACAACAGAAGGAAATGAAAGTCAAGCTGATAGAACTCAGAAAAAAATGGAGAGAAAAATAACATTATTGAGATAAAAGCCACATTAAGAAGCAACCAAAAATAGAATAAACGTGACTAAAAAGAAAGATAAGGACCAGAGAAATCATACAAAATGAAACAGATAAGACTAACAATATAAAACCAATTTACTGAGAAGACAACAGATATAGAGGAGGAAGCAGGGTAGAAAGAATATGTAACTCTCCAAAGAGGCTCACAAAGCAAAAAGAACAAATGCACATTCAAAGATATATAATAGGATAAAACCTGTCAAAATAAATAAAATCTGGAATTTGTGGATTGATTATGTTTATAGAACTTTAAGGCTAAAGAAAGAATCATGGCCAGGCATGGTGGCTCACGCTTGTAAGCCCAGCACTTTGGAAGGCCCAGGCAGGAGCACTGCTTGAAGCCCGGAGTTTGAAACCAGCCTGGGCAACAAAGTGAGACCCAGTCTACAAAAAAAAAAATGTTTTTAATTAGCCAGGCACGATGGCCAGTGCCTGTAGTCCCAGCTACTCAGGAGTCTGAGGCAGGGGGAGATTGCTTGAGCCCAAGCCTTCCAAGCTACACTGAACCATGATTTTGCCACTGCACTCCAGGCTGGACGACAGAGCAAAATGCTGTCCAAAAAAAAAAAAGAAGAAAGGAAGAGAAGAGAAGAGAAGACAAAAAGGAAAAGGAAAAGGAAAAGACAAAGACTGAAAAGAAAGTGTGGAGGTATTAAGTTAGAAATAAAAAAATCATGGGCCAGGCACAGTGGCTCATGCCTGTAATCCTAGCACTTTGGGAGGCCGAGGTGGGAGGATCACGAGGTCAGGAGTTTGAGATCAGTCTGACCAACATGCTGAAACCCCATCTCAACTAAAAATACAAAAATTAGCCGGGTGTGGTGGTACACATCTGTAGTCCCAGCTACTCGGGAGGCTGAGGCAGAAGAATTGATTGAACCTGGGAGGCAGAGGTTGCAGTGAGCTGAGATCACGCCACTGCACTTCAGCCTGCACAATAGAGACTCCATCTCAAAAAATAGATAAATAAATAAATAAGAAATAAGAAATCATGTATAAGAAAGGAAAAAAACTCAGGTCAGCCTAATTTCTCAAAAGCAACACAGATACAGAAGACCACACAGCAATATGGTCTAAGTACTAAAAAAAGGAAATGTCTCCCAATTTTATACCCAGCAAAAGTATCCTTAAAGTATAACAAATAAATATAGATTCTGTAGAATGTAAAAACGTAGTGCCCCTTCTTTTAAAAAAGTCATCTCTATACATATTGATTTGAAACCATTTTCAAGAAAATACAGAATAGTGTATACAGTGTGCTATCTTTTTTTAAAAAAAAATATACGTGTGTGTTTTTAAATGCAAAGAGTATCTCTGGACAAATGCTTAAGAGGAACAGAGTAGCTAAGGAACAGGGATGAAAGGGAGGCTTGTTTTTCACCACAAATCCATTTGGACTTTTTACCGTATATACAAACGGTACTTTTTTTTTTTTTTTTTTTTTTTTTTGCGACAGTCTCACTATATGGACCAGGCTGGAGTGCAGTGGTGCGATCTTAGCTCATTGCAACCTCCGTCCACCTCCTGGGTTCAGGTGATTCTCATGTCTCAGCCTCCTGAGTAGCGGGAATTACAGGCGCCTGCCACCAGGCCCGGCTAATTTTTGCATTTTTAGTAGAGATGGTGTTTCACTATGTTGGTCAGGCTAGTTGCAAACTCCTGACCTCAGATGATTGGCCCACCACGGCCTTCCAAAATACTGGGATTACAGGCACGCGTCACTACGTCTGCTCTAAAAAATTTTTTCAAGTGAAGTGTGCTCATTTTCTCTGTCATTATAATATGCAATCAGCAGCCACTTCAGACCTCTCACTAGTAGGCACACAATAAATAGTAGCTGTTTTTTCAAAACTGCATTTTAGTTAACAGGTGGATACTAATTTCTATTTCTCATTTACAGACTTCAACTATAACACCAAATTTTACAATGTGTCTCAGATAATCTCTCTTCCTCATCTGAAAAAGAGAGACCTGAACTAACAAGGTCAAATATCTCTGCTACATCTATAATTCTGTAGTTACAAAGCCCTTTTATTTCAGATGTATTTAGATGGTTAATTTCTTT